TGACGCCACTTTTCACCATCAACTGCGAAAATCCCATCACCTAATAAATCCTTTAGAATGATGTAATTGTACTGACCCTGCGCATACAGTTTTAGGCAATCATCAAAACAATCCTCATTTAGCATTTATGAAGAGCAAATCTAGTTTTACATAGTTTTGGTTCGTAATTTTCGTTCTCCATCAGGAGAGCCCTGTGTTTCATTTAATCAAATTACAACAACCTAACTCCTCAAAATAAGATCACACATAATTTTCTGTTTTTAAGGTTGTTGTGGCAACATGACTAACCAATTACTTCTAAGTTAACAAATTCATGACTTTTGTTGTGCTTTCAACTATAAGATTCAAACCCAATACAGAACAAATGCCCAAGAATCAAATTCCTCAGTTTTCCAGATATTATGTCTGATTCTGCACTTTTTTTTTTCTCTACTGTTAGCTTTTATATAATTCAATCTCCGATTCCCAAAAGGAAGAAGTAAAGAGATGAGGGAAAGTCAGGTAAATACATACCTTTCCATAATTCTCAAAGTTGGTTTTGAGTATATATTCAATATTGGCTGGCTCGGAGGTGTAGATCTCATTCCTGAGCGGACCGATCAGCCTGTAGGTCCGATACTTCCCGGCAAGATCAGTCATATAATGGTGCAATCTACTGAAGTTGAGAAGCTGGTTGAAGATTGTGCCACCCACAGGATGGTACTTATATTTTCTCCGATTTTTGTTCAGACTTCTAGCGAGGACCTTGAAGGTGAAGATAGAGAGGACAATAGCAAAACTGGTGAGGGCGATGGTGCAAAGATCCATGGCTTCCCCGTGGATACCCCTGGCTTGGCTTGCTTAGATGGAAGATAGATATATATATATACATACAGAAAACTGTTTTGCAGTACGCCAGAAAAATTAATTAAATCTCTGCCAAAAAAAATAATATAAAAATAAATTGAAGTGCATCTAAATAATTTTACAAAATAAACTATATATAGTTCGTTGTAAAACAGTTTTCTCATATATATGTATATATTTCTTTTAATATGGGGAAATTTTGAAGAAAAAGGATTGATTTTATGTTAAATTTTTAATTTGATCTTTAAACTATTGTATGGATGTTTGATTTAGTCTTTGAATTTAAAAAAATTTTAATTTAGTCTCTAAATTATTATACAGATTTTTGATTTGATCTCTATTGTTTATCAATTTATGGTTATTCTATACAAAATAACTAACGTTTCTTATTATTAATGTGACACGTGATCGTTAAATTATTGTTTTTTATCGTTAAATTATTGTTTTTCATCGTTAAATATTAGACACGTCAATTTTTTTATACGAAATGATTAATTTAGGGTAAATTAATAAGCAAATATGACCTAATGAAAACCCATATAATAATTTAAGGATCAAAATCAAAAATTTTTTTAATTTAAAAATCAAATT